TTACTAATGAAAGTAGAAAGAAGAGATTTCCTTTTTTGTAGACCGGAATTATTTCGGCTAACTCCAACTCATCAGGAAAGATGTCAGACTTTATAGAGTTATTATATACTTATGTTAAGGAAACGACAATTTGAAAAGCGCAACTTTTAATGATATCGTTTGATACATTATCACATCCACTACTTCTTTTGTTTTTAAGTATATTTATTACACTAGCAACCTCCTATAGAGTGGTAAGAGAGACGTACAGCTATTTTTCATTACTATTAATATCAGAAGGATGGTAACTGGAGTCGGGATCTAAATTACTTAAAAGTGTTTCGAAGGACAACTTTTTTCAAATGCCAAGGTGATCTCCAAACTTTTCGTCGCAAACTTATTTTGTTGGATCTGTTACAGAATATACCAAATAAAAACAGGATCTTAAATCTAACGAGAAAACGTAAAAGTATAAAGTCGGCGGACGGACTCAATTATTACAATACTTCCTTCGCTTACGCCCGGGAAGTAAAAAACGTAAGATAACAAATTGAAAATTTCTTGTGATTGCATGAAACTATTGCGCCTCTTTGTAGTGGCTTAAAGCCCCTCCAGCTTTTAAATTGATCAATCATAACGTTTTCAAGCAGAACTTGATATAAGATTCCTCTTTGTTAAGGTTTCTAGTGTGACGTGTTTGCAGCGCTGTTAAAGTCGTGTTTATAAATAACTCAAATTTAATCTTTCAATTTTTAAAGAGTATTCGAAACAAAAAATATTGTACAGTTTCGGCCAGAAAATCTTGGGCAGTATTTTTCTGTCATTTAAAAAACACGATGTAGTCTACGCTTTATTGTCATAATGACTGACACTTTTAAAAAATAAATTTTGACATACGTCATCATCCACATTCCAGTTTACGTCAAAATGACAAACATGGCAGATTTGAGGTTATAAGTACGTAAAGCCTGTTTTAGAGCTTATGTCACTGGAATGACAGAACTGCCCAAGATATTGTGGCCGACACTGTACCACAAACAAGCGCCCTTTGCGGTAAGGAAACTTTTCTGATCTAGTTGTATACATTACTATAACAAAACTTCATTTGGCAACTGGCTTTTTGCAAATAAATAAAACTAAGCAAGAAGGGTTTGTCTTTTCGGTATTACATCAGCGCTTAAGGTGTTTTATATTAAGACCCACCACTGACCCGGAAATGACCGGCATTCAGGCAAGACTTCTATCATTACGGGTACTAAGACCAAGTAATGATATGCTTTGATTAGATTAACAGAACAACTTTCGAGATTCTAGAATTACAGCATACAAATTAGTCTGCTATTATTTTCTAATCTCACCCCATCCCCAAAAGTCAAGCGTAACTACCGATCATTTATCCGCGCATCACATGAAAAGTGACCTACACTACTCTGACCTACTGGTGCTAATCTAATCTGACTGACATGATCAGACTGTTCAAGAAACTTACGAACAATATGACATGTTCCTAACAAAACAGCTTTTTGAATTTTGACAATTATTGAATCATTCAAGTGCAAAGACTTTAAATTCTCAACTAAGCTATTTGGAACTACACCTACATTAGAGATAACTAGGGGTAGAATTGAAATTTTTTTAAGATTTAACATGGATTTCATTTCTATCGATAATTGTAGATATTTGGAAATCTTGGTGTCGTATGTTTGAATAATGTTGTTTGTGTTGGGAATAGCAATGTCAATGAGAATGGCTTCGTTCGTGTGTTTTTTGATAAGTATGATGTCTGGTCTGTTAGCTGTAATGTTTAAGTCTGTAAGTATTGTGCGATCCCAGTATAATTTGTATTTGTTATTTTCAAGGAACGGAGATGGAATGTAAGTGTAATAGGGTGTCGTATCTTCGATTAAATTCATAAGTGTTGCTAATTCTTTGTGAATGATTTTGGCTGCGTTGTCGTGTCTAGCTTTGTAATCAGTTTGTGCTAGGATGCTGCAAGAAGAGATTATGTGCTGGATCGTTTCAGGTTTTGCTTTGCAGAGGCGACAGCAGTCGTTTTTTATGTTCGGATCTTTGATGATGTATTTTCTATAATTCTTGGTATTGATTACTTGGTCTTGAATAGCAAACACAAATCCTTCTGTTTCGGCATACAAACTTGATTTTTTTAACCAAATCAATGACATCTTCTTATTGACATGATTTTCTTCTAAGTCTTTGTAGAATTTTCCATGTAGTTGTTTTTGTTTTAGCCCACTTATTATTTTATCTATTGTGTGGGGGGTGTGGATTTCTTCGGTGTTCGACAGATTTAAGGGTGTGTGGTTCAAATCTGCTCTTGTGATGGTGCGAAACATTTCATTTCTTTCCGCTCGTTTCAAGAAATACTTCTTCAAATCTGAGATTTGTCTCTGATATAAGTTTTCTAAGTTCTGGAAACCCCTTCCTCCATTCTGTCTTGGTAATGAGAATCTTTCAATCGATGATTTTGGGTGATGCCTTCTATACTGTGTGAAGATTTTCCTTGTTGCGATGTTTAAATTTTCAAGATCAGTTTTGGACCATTTAATGACTCCAAAAGAATATGTTAGCAGTGGAACGCAGAATGTATTTACTGCTTTCATTAAATTTTTTCCATTTAACTGTGTCTTCAATATTAATTTTAATCTCGCTACGTATTGATCTTTCAACTGTGTTTTCGTTTTGGTATGATTGATGTGGGAGGATTGACAGAAACCCAGATATTTGTATGTATCGTTTCGTTCTTGGGCTTCAATTATTTCCTTATTCTGTGTTATATGTGGTACTTGGTGAAACACGCCTTTTCTGATTGCTTGGGTCTTACATTTCTCAATACCAAAGGACATACCAATATCACCGGAAAATTGTTCAGTCAGATTTAATAGGTTTGTTAACTGATTTTGTGTACTTGCATATATTTTTATGTCATCCATATACAGCAAGTGACTTATTCTGTTTTCTCTTTGTTTGTTAATTCTTATATTGAACCCATAATTGCAGCTGTTCAGGATATCGGAGAGGGGATTTATTGCTAAGCAGAACCATAACGGGCTAAGAGAATCGCCTTGAAAAATTCCTCTTCGGATCATTATTGGGTCTGACTGAATTGTTTGTTCATTTAAGGTTATTTGGAGGGTGGTCTTCCAAAATTCCATGGAACATTTGAGAAAAGTGCAGATTTTAGTATCAATCTTGTATAATTCCAGAATTTTGCATAACCAGGAATGAGGGACAGAATCGTAAGCTTTCTTATAATCAATAAAAGCAGTATATATGTTTCGGTTTTCTTTTCTAGCTTGTTCACAGATGATGGAATCTATGATTAATTGCTCTTTGCAGCCAAAGGATCCTTTAATACATCCTTTCTGTTCTTCATTAATGATGTCAGAGTTAAAACAGTGTTGATATATTTTTTGTGTAATGCATGAGGTTAATATTTTATAGATTGTCGGTAAACATGTGATAGGTCTGTATTTTGATGGATTTTTTGTGTCGTTATCTTTAGGTTTTAAGTATGTTACACCATGACATAAGAATGTTGGAAAAGATGATGGGTCAAGAAGGAACTGATTTAAGTGATGTAGTAAATGAATATGTACACAATTTAATTTTTTTATCCAAAAATTATGGATTTTGTCTGGTCCTGGTGATTTCCAGTTGTGTGTCTTATTGATGGTATTTATTAATTCGGCAAGTGTTATCTGATGATCATTCATTGGTGTAACTGTGGATAGTTTATTATATATATGAGGAATCCATTTGGCAGATTGGTTAAATTCAAATTCTTGAGACCAAAGTTTTGACCAAAATGTTGTTACATCTTGTGAACTTGGTAGTTCACCGGATAATTGAGTTTTGCTTGAATTAGTTAAATGTTGATAGAATAGTTTTTCGTTGTTTAAAAATTTAGTGTTATGAATTTTTCTGAGATGTGATTGTTTGTATCTTTTAAGTCTTTTGCTATATAATGAAAGCTTTTGTAATAGTGTATCTTTAATTTCGGATAGTGTTGTGTTGTACTCATCGTAATCAGTTTGATGAAAATTATTGTTGGTCAGTATCGAATGCATACATGTCATGATGTGTGGTGTTTTAACTCCTCTAAGGTACTGTGTTATTTGACCTAGTTGTTTTCTAATGTTATTAATTTTATAATTTAACCGTGTTTCCCAATGAGGGGTGGAGGGTATGCGATTGTTGTTTGTATTTATTATGTTATCTTTACATGTGTTAATTTGAATACAAGTTAAAGCTGCACAGTAGATAATTGTATGAAGTTTTTCAAAAGAGATCGAGTTTGTGAGATATTTTGGTAAAATGAAGGAGTTCATTATTTCTACAATTGCCAGAAACTTTTTTGAATAACACTGGAGGGGAAGTGATTGTCTATCATTTGGTTTTAATTTAGAACATGTTTCGAAAGTTAATTTAAATTGGTCTTCAATTTCATTTTGGAAATTAATGTGAAATTTAAAATTTTTGTTGACAGTTTTGATTAATGTGTCTTCTGTGTTGTAGTACGTGTTTTGTAGATTATCTGTGATGTTAATTTGGTTTTGGATTGTTCTTGATGAATTGTTAAGTGATTTGTCAGTTAATGTGTTGGTAATTTGTGTTACGGTTGTGATCTTATTTTGAGGTGTTTTGTTTAATAAATCTTTAGTAAATCTGTCAGTTCGTGTCTCTGGTGCATTTAATATACTACTATTACTATTTTGTGGTATAATTGGGATCTTATTTTGAGATGTTGTTTTTGACAAATTGGTGACAGATTATTATTATTATTAATATTATTATTACTTACCTATTAATAAAAGTAATGAAAAATGTGTGAAATATATGATTTTTAGTTAGTTTAAATATTTTTTAAGTACATTGAACTATAGGGGATTTACTTTATTTTCAAGATGTGATAAGAAATATAAGTCCAATCAGGACATCTCTGTAAATATTTTTATCGACGTCTGTACCATAGGTAACACTTATGTGTAAACAAATCTATCAGTTAACAAAATGTTTTCTACGTTGTAGTTAATTGATGTGCTGTAATTTTTATTTAAAATTTAAGCGACGATTATGGAAAACGATGTAAGTAGATTCTGCACAATTTTACTTACAGCTAGGTACTTCTGCGTGAAACAATATATCTAAATTACCTTGAAAACATAAAACCTTGGTTCTTGCCAATACTAGTGAACGATTAAATGTGCATTATAAGTGGCCAAAAGTGGTGTATGTCGTGATTGTTATAACTGTGATACTGATTTTACGAGCTTATAATGATATGTTGCTCTTCAGTAACAGCTTTTACAAGATTAATCCAAACTGAAAGTTCATTTAACCTAAAAGATCGTATTGTAATTAGATGTAATACTAATATTCATAGTTATATTACTTTATATTACGTCGCTCGCGAGTATTTTACATCACTTATTAATAATATTGAATTTTTACCCATAAAACAGATGCATAAACTACTCCAAAATCTACTACTGTAAGATAAAGAATATAGATTTAACATATTATTAATACAACATAGTAATACAATTCATTTATTAATATGAGTATTTTTACTTAATTTTTTTTTTATTCATTCAACTTCAAGTTTATTGAAATTTGAATTGAAATAAATAGAAAAACGAAATATTTAAGTTAAATTTTTTTGTTGTGGTCAGATTCATTTTATCATCTGTTGTGCATTTTTGGATCCTTACTTTATCTTACTCAAGTAAAACATAGAAATCTCTATATATTAACGTTTTTTAGTTTGATAAAAATAAACAATTTATTTTAGTACCATATCAGTTACATGTAGCATTTATTATTGTTTCAGACTTTTAATAAAAGAATTGGCACAACCGACCTCGGAAAACACTACGAAAACGTCCTCATCGCAAATTTAACTTTACAACTTGTGTTAGATAAAACTATAGATGATTTCAAATTGTCAGCCAATGACGAAAAATTCGGTGACTTTGACGATATCGTCGTGGAAACTGAATCAAATGGAGAGAAGAAAATATACGCAATTCAGCTCAAGCACTTTAGGAATGTAACTAAGAAGTTATCAAAAGACAGCTTTAAGAAAAACAAAGAGTTTGATCTTCAAAAATACTTTACGTCGTTTAAAAATATCAAACAAGGCGATCGTTCTTGCAATTTTATTTTGTTTACAAACGAAAAATGTGATATGGAAGTTGAATTGAAAATTCGCGATAATGACATCATTCGTGTTAAATTGAAAAAAGTTGAATCGAAAGAACTGTTTACCAACGGACTGTGTTACAAGTTTGAAATAATGAATAGCAGCGAACTTCCTGCAGACTCTAAAGAATATCACACATTCTTTGACAATTTGTTGTTATATACAAACCAATCAAATGCAGAGAAAACAGAAACTGATGTTAGATTACAATTCGAACAAATATTTTCTTGCTCTAGTGAAGAGTCAGCTAAGTTTTTACAATTTATATCTCAGTGGCATTTTCAAGACGGCACCAAAGTGAAATTAAACAAACCCATGATGCGGAAAGTGATAGCAGTTGCTGCACTGTGGGGTTCTACTAAGCCTCTTGCATTTACACATACTACCGACGAAATGAAATTGGTACGTAGGGCTATTGATAATTTTAATATCACAGCCATTCAAGAGGAAAGTTACGATAAAATTAAAATTCTCTGGAGTGACTTGAAATTCAAAGTTTTTGAGCAGAATATCGAAAAACTAGCACGAAAATTTCCATTTCTTTGTTTGAAAGAAAGTGTCGCTGATACTGATGACAACACTTTATCAAAACTTTTGTGGTTACTGGAAATGACTCCACTGATAGTCAGCGAGAATCAAACGGTTCATAATGTCATGGACCTCTGTCGCAAAGAAAAATTTATCTTAGTTAGTTCGGGAACACCCAAGGAGCAACTATCGCCAAGCAGAATTTTTCAAAATCTGTCAAATTTGGATCCTAGGTCTGAACTATATCAAAATATTGTAACCACATTCAAGTGTTTACTTCAAGGGAAAGAAATTGTTACTTTAGATTTTCTAATTAAGAAAAATGATGAAATTCGAACAATTATAACCCCTGAGGAACTGGTGAAAATGTTGGACCGTCCGTATCAGATTGGCGAGAATAAAGAATTTATATCGGAAAGTTACATTAACAGACATTTGTCGGTAAATTATATTGATATCAATTATTTAAAAAACGTTGATACTGATACTTTGATTGTTCTTGATTGTATGAACCAAATAGAAAATATTTTGAAGAAACTGGGCAATTTTAATTTGATGGATATCAAATTATTTTTTCGAGATAACGATAATAATTCTAGAAATTGTGGTCAATTTTTGCCGAATCATCGAACGCTATATCACACAAGTCCATTCTTAAAAAATTATGTTTCTGGTTCTGATATATACATCAGTGACAAATGTTCTTTGGATGATTTTCAAAAAATTTGTGATCACAATCCAAAAATGAAAAAATATCATCATTTGAAGATTATAGATGAAAAGACTTTAGAATGGGTACGAAGCAAAGGTGATATAAGCGATCTATCGAGGTATCGAAGAGAAGAACGATTTGTTGAAGAAACAACTTTTTATACTAGTGAATTTGACAACAATGTGAATGTAGTGAATGGAGACCCGGGAACCGGAAAATCTGAATTATTGAAAAATATCAAAAATAATTGTGGTGTGGATTTTTGGTGTATTTTTTTAAAGTCTGTGGACACCACTCTTTTGTGTACGCGTCTAGAGAAAATCCAAGCAGATGAAAGAGAATCTGAATTGATAGAGTTTATTCGAGACACAATGTATGTGGGATATCCAAATTTTGATAAAGAGGTAATAACGTTATTGATCAAGAATCGTCACGTTGTCTATTTCTGGGATGCTCTTGATGAAGTTACAACAAAATGTACAGAAATTGTGATTGATCTCATAAAGGAATTGTCCCAGAAAAGTGTCTTCCAATGGATAACCAGTCGTTGCCATTTAAAGAAACAACTCGAGAAGAAGTTCGGTGTGTTATCAAAAAGCGTGAGCCAATTTAGCGAGGAAGAACAAACTCGTTATATTCATCAAAGGCTTAAAGACTTTTATTCCGATGAACATATTGACAAAGTAATCCAACAGATTAGAACTACAGTCACATCAATAAAAAATAACAATATTTTAGCAACCCCTTTACAGATTTATATGTTCACTGAGCTCTTCCATCACAACCCTGTCAAATACAGAATCTTACTTGAAAAGCTGTTTTCTTTAACGGATCTTTACCAACACATCATAGACGAGAAGTTCAACAGATATTACAAAGAAAAGGCTGATGTTCGATACCCTAATAACGCCTTAAGACAAGTCTTAGAAGGTTACAAAAAATCGATGTTTGAGAAATACGAAAAAGCGGGACTAAAATCACTTGTCAAGAAAGAAGTCTTCAAGCAACTGAATATCAACTGTGATGATTTTTTGAACGAGATTCAAGATCGTGCTGACAGTATAGGACTGATAACTGAAGTCACTGACAAATTTCCGCAGTTTCTGCACAATTCCTATGCCGAGTTCTTTGTGGCCAAGTATTTTATAGAACACCATAGCGAGATCAATGATTTTGAAAAGATCATTTTTGATAGCAGATACACGAATGTGCGGTTTTTCTACGATCTACTTACTGCGAAAGATTCAATTGCTCACAAGGCGGTGTTGTATAGAAATACAGATTTACTTATGAAACAGTACATGGACGATATGATTACTTGTGAAGACACTCGAGGGCGAAATGTTTTACAGATTGCATGTTCATGGGGACAGAGACTTCCTGTTCTACAAGTGGAAAAAAATGACGGCATCTATGTTATTGACAATGAAAAAGATGATTCATTGTGTGGAGAACCAACCGAGTATATTGAAATGCTGCAGTATCTCTTAGAGAATTGTCACACAAACGGTGATCAAGAATTGAAAAATGCTGCGTTAGAATCGGCCAAAAAATCTGAGTCTTTGTTGGCAAAGTTAATACTTCTTGGACATAGCTCCTCCAAACTCAGAAACGATGACGACGGTATTAGCATCTTGTACTATTCTGCTAAGTTTGGTTACACTCAAGCAATTGACTTGTTTGACAATGTGCCTTATGTGAAAACAAAGAAATGCGGTTTCTCTCTTCTTCATCTATCCGTTAATTATGGTCAAGGAAAATATGTGAAGAAACTTCTTTCCATAGAGGCATACCAACAAAATATAGACGATAAAGACGAAAATGGAGAAACTCCACTTTATAAAGCCTGCCAATACGGATATTACAACCTGGTGGTTTATCTTGTAGATCACGGTGCCAACGTCAATGCGACAACCTCAAATGGTTCCTCACCTCTTCACACAGCGTGTCTTCACCTTCACACCAACATCGTCCGATTTTTGCTATCCTCAAAAGCCAACATCAACGCGGTAAAAAATTTTAACATAACTCCACTCCATGTTGCTTGTTGGAATGGTCATTACGACGTTGTGGATCTACTTCTTCAAAACGGTGCCAATATCAACTCTGCGGCAAGCGATGGTTGCACGCCCCTGTACGTCGCTTCAAGAAACAGACACGACACTGTAGTTAAACTTCTACTTCAGAAAAATGTTGACATCAATTTGGCTCAAGAAAATGGCGTAACTCCTTTATTTATAGCTTGTCAAGAAGGGCACATAAAAAATATCAATCTTCTTTTAAGAGCAGACGCTGATGTCAATCGTGTTACGAAGAGTGGGGAGTCACCACTTTATGTGGCTTCTCAGAACGGCCATGAAGCAGTGGTTAAGTTGCTGATTATGTTCGGAGCTGAACTAAATGCTGTTGCTGATAATGGGTTTATGCCGATTCACATTGCGTCTCAACAAGGGTTTTCAAAAGTTGTGCAATTGTTGCTTGAACGAGGAGTCGATGCCAACATTTGTAGCACTGATGGTATGACAGCTTTAAGTATGGCAAAAAATCTAGGACACGATGATGTTGCTTCGTTGTTGAAGAGGTCCAGATTGTGGAATAAAGCATTTAAAGTTGTTAACTACAGGCTTAATTTTGTTAAGAAGCTTAGAACATAGAAGTGCGTTCCTATCACTGTAATTTCATTTGTAAAAGATAATTTTAATAAGTACTTGTAGTATGTTTTTTATTATCTTAAGTTATGTATTACTTTGTTGTTGTTAATTTATATTATTATGTATTATATGATAAAGCAAATCACAGCCATTTGTTTGAAATTCATCAGATGAATGATCTTATGTAGGTATTCTTGATATTTGAGTGAAGTTTTATTTTTGACATGGTTTTACTGCCTAAAATTTGTATCGCAAAAATACAATTTTCGTCAAACTATATATCATATAGTAAAGTTCTGGATCAGTTGTATTAATTATAGGCCTGCCTGAAATCCAAGGTCACAGATTTGATCACTCGTCAATAATAACCGAAATTCAATAACAATATTGTTCACGATTATTATTATTAGTCAAGCAAGTTGAAATGTCCAATTTTTTGTTCTACGACCTATGTGTTATAAGATGCAGTTGATAGAAAAATTGACAATTTAATAGTGTCTATGAAGTTGTTGTGGGCTTTTATCCTGACATATTATAAATTCTTTTCGTTTTGTGGTTTATTAACTACGTATATAAAAAGTATATTCTTCCGAGCAAAAGTTTACTAGAACTTTTTTGAGGGGAATTTTATTCTCTACATTTTGGTTGAGACGTCTTTACCTGAGTATTTTAAATTTTTCAGTATTTCTAAATTAATATTTTAGAGTAGTAATCAGTGGCGGCTCGTGAAGTTTTCTTCAGAGGAGGCTCAAATTTGAAAAGCACTATTTTAATGTCTTTTATTATCTGAATAATTTTTTTCGACATGCCCACGAAAAGAACACTCTTGCGTTGACAGATAAATTATGTTGCATCGATTAGTCTTTTCAAAATTGCCCAATTTTCACCAACTTTCTCGTAATAGTTCTCCCTTTTATGAGCCGAATCTAAATTATTGGCAATGTTTTGCTTACCAAGCATTTCTAATTTAATCGAAGAAAATATGTGTTCCTGTGATTTTTCATGCCTTTCTATAGCTCGTGACAAATTTTGTAAATTATTATAGCCTGTTTTACCCCAAGCGGAAGATTTATCAGTTTATCACTTATAAATAATACACAATTCCAGCAGTATAATTTGTTTCTTAAAACCGAAGCCGTTAACTATTTAGTTTTATTATAATTATTTTCATGAAATGCTCTGTTTTGTTTCTAATTGTAACTGTCAATACCATTAATGGGAGTGATGGTGTTGGTCTTCCCTTTCATACCCTTACCTACGTAAAGCCTAACCACCACCACCACTGAACAGGTAGCTCGCGAAACCACCTCAATGTTTTTCCTACTTACACCCGATTGCTCCAACTAATAAGAAAGAGATAAAGTTATCTGTACGACTAGATCTGAAAAGAGATGAACTAGCCGGAGGCTAGCGGCTTGGAGCGGCAGTCCGATCACCGTTTTAGCCAATGCAATACCCACTGACGGTGCGTCAAGGTTACGGCAGGCCTATGAAAGTCTCAGCTGATTCCATAAGAAATACATGGGGAGCTTACGGAACGACATAAAGAGGTCACTAGCGTTCTAAAGGTGCTCCGACCTTGAAGAACATAGTTTCTTTTCCATTTTAAGGTTTTCGGTGAACGTTTTGTCTGGTTTTGTCTGGTTTTGTCAACAAGAAATGTCATATTATTTACGGAATCATACGGGATGTTGGGTTATGGGGTTAAAAACAAACGTAAAATTTATTTTAACAAAGTAATAGATACTTACGACACAGTCTTACGATACATGTAAAAAATACTATAAAATTCCAGGCTAAAGAGGTCAACAAACTGCAGGTTAAACGAAATATATAGTTTAATTTTCGCTGTGTACGTGTTTGAGCGGTCCAAGATTTATTTTTAAATTTTAGTGTATAAAAAATTCTAACTCAAATAAAAACTGAGACGAGGTAATCAAAAGGAAAGTCTTTGCAGGGGTGGTGGAATAGTATTTTTGTATGGTTCGTTTTTTAGTCGCAAACCAGTTAACGAATACAGTGCATAAATTGAGAAAAACTCACAAAATATATTATCCACTACTGGAGTATAAACTGCAAAATGTTCAGGTGGCATCATTAAATCGCCAAAAATCACATCTTCATTGAAAACTTTAAAATGTCACACAATTAAAACAGGATGTACCACTTCGTAAGAATCTGCAAAGTTCACACAAACTTCGCAGAAGTGGTGGTGTAAAAATTTTCGTATTAATGAGTATCCACAAACATACCATAAACAGTTGTGTTCTTTCAAGGTGAGTTTCCGGTAACTCACATCACTTAATGATTGTTGAAGAGGCCGGAATACAGGGAAGATGTGTTGTGGAAGTTTGTTTAAAAGAACACCTTAGCAAATTTTTCATTTCAAATAAAATAGTGCTTCACAGTTGATTCTTGCACTTGTATCGAAATAATCTGTAGTAAATAGTTTCCGAAACGTTCTTTGGAATTCTATTGGTGTGGAATTTATACAATTCCCAAATTGACGCCTCACAGAGCCAAATAAATATGTCAAACAATACTGATTTAGTTGCAGCAACCTTTTAGTGAAAATTGTAAACAAATTGTATTCTGTGAAAACTATTAAAAATAATAAGCAAAATGTTTATGTTCCTGAAGTTGTTTTTTATTTTTTTGTGAGTGATTTAAAAATATTAAGAGTGAATTAAGAATTTTGCAATTCACTTGTGGATAACAACTTATTTGTCAGACTTGTTAAGGCTTTAATAAACCCAGTTTAAAACGTCAAAATTGAATAAAAATGTTTTGCTTGAATATATTAATAATTTATAAGAAAGAAAAAAATGACCAATGTCACTAGTACATGCCAACCATTATTGTTTTTGTGTACAATTATTAGTATTATATGAATCGCATACGAATGCTACGAAATATTTGAATCTTCGTGTTTCCCGGGAACGGGTTCCCAAGGTCACACCCATTCCGCAAATATTGCTGAAGTTTCGTTACTGATCTACTGTGGTTACGGTCTCATTATTCAGATGCATCGTCGTTCGGAGGCTAGCGGCTAGCAAGCCTCTGCCGCTGAAACCAAACGCGGAGTGGTGTCAATGTGAATTATGATTGTGCAAATATAAATTTTTCCGACATTTTAACCTGATATATGATGAAAGTAAATGAAATCCAATAAAATATTCTGAAAAATAACAAATGTCTACAAAAATATAAATTCTTTCATCGAAAAAAATTAGAGGAAGCTGAGCTCCAAAAAATAGAGGAGGCTCAGCCTCCCCTGCCTTCTCTGAGGAGCCGCCACTGGTAGTAATGGTAACTAAGTCTGGATAATATTTAAAAAATTAGTTTCCAGTCTTTTGAAAATCTTATCCAGGGGTACTCGTATATCGGGAAAACGTCCTGTATAAAATAGTGCAACAAAAAAAAGCGGTTTCTCTGTATTCGTTATAGAGTAAAATCATACAAGTTTTTTCTATTTTTTAAATACGTTTTAGTCTCTGACAGTTTGGTTAACAAAATTTAAAGCCCATAGGCCTCAAAATTTAAATGATCATGTTTAATATTTTAAATAAATTGAAAAATAAACCAACGAAATCTCAGTATTATTATTATTAACGGGATTTGGCGTAAAGTGTTTATTTAACTTCACATTTTGGTTATTTTAATTGATTTTGTCAATATTATTATTTCAGTGTATTCATTTGTATTTGACGACTAATAAACAAGAATATAAAGGAATTAATTTCAGGAAATAAAAATTTTATTTAAAGTTTGGCGACTAATTCAGAACACCACAGATTTACTGATTTTTATAATTGCAAACAGAAAGAAGGTTAGGTAAATGTTGGATACAAACGCAAGACCAAGAACGCAAAAGTCAGTTTTCGACATCTGAGTACAAAAAAGTGACAAGTCAGTCCAAAAAAGTGATACTTCATCGACATGATTCGGGACTTAAAACAACTTGATTGGTAATGGTAAATTTGTAAAAAAAATACAACATCATCTTAATTCATCGAAAGTAACAGTAAATAATAAGCATCTATTTTATGCTAATATTTTTTTACATCTAACCAAATACCACCTTCTGCTTGTACACTAACACTGTTTTTTGAAAATTTGAGCGGTTCTTTAGTTTTCTCATTCAGCGTAAAATTGTAATTTTTTAGCAAACTGGTAAGTACAACCTTGGCTTGCATCATCGCAAATCGTAGACCTGCAAACATTACATTACATAAATTAACAAAAATTGTATAACAAATTTCCATACCAAGACACATTCTAGGTCCAAATCCAAACGGAATAAAGCAGCAGCGATGTCTCGCTGTCAGTTTCTTTTCATCGAAACGCTCAGGATCAAATTTATCGGGATCGGGATAATACTCTTCGTCATAATGTATCCCCAGTACTGGTATGACAACTCTTGTACCCCTTTCGATGATTACACTATGTTCAGGGATTTTATAATCTTTGACGCATTGCCTGTTCAGAAAAGGAATTGGTGGATATTTTCGTAAAGTCTCTAAAATGTAATTAATATATAACCACTCTAAACTAAATGAAACACTACTTACCATATAATACTTGATTCATATATGTCATTTCCTGAATGGTATCATAAGTTATTTTTCCATCGTGTTTATCCATTACGATATTGATTTCGTTTCTGACTTTCTGTTGAATCTCCTGATTTTTTGCAAGTTCATACAGCGCCCAAGTTGGTGCAATAGAAGCATTTTCAACACCAGCCACAAATAAAAGAAAACTTTGAGCAGTGAGTTCTTCAATAGTTACAGTTTTACCATCATGGTTATATCCTTCATCTCTGGCTAGTTTGCTATTTTTCATGTTTATCAATATTTGTATATAATCATCCTTAACGTAATTGTTTGTCTCTCTGTCGTGTACAATATTTCTAAACAGTTTATCAAAAAAGTTTGATATATCTTTGGGTACCGCTTTAATATTTAAATTTCTAGCGGCATTTGGAAAGTTCATAGTAAATAAAGCCACTAGCAAGCGGCCAATTGAATAGGTAAAAAATTTCTTCACGTATGTTCTGAGAGGATAATCTTTATCTTTCAGCGTGTCACAGTTCATACCGAAAGCGCAGCGTCCAATAACGTCAGTAGTGAAACAAGACAGAACGTCTTTGATATCAATTGGTTGCTTTTTTTGATGTAATATTTCAAAAATTTCTTGCAGGTTTTTTTCACAGTGGGTAAACACATCAAACATAGCTTTGATTTTTCCAGACGTGAATGTCTCACTCAACTGCACTCTCAAATTCCTCCACTTTTTCCCACCAATGCAAAAAAGATGAGCACTGATTGGATCATCTTTTTCGTTATAGTAAAGTCCACGATCTACGAAATGGTGAAAATCTTTTGATAACATTCTGTCAATGTTTTCTACATTAACCACCATGTATATGTGTCTCGCAAAAAAGTATACGCCTCCATGTGGATGATTCTTGCGTTTTAATTCCTCATAAAGACGTTTGAGTACCATTCCCAAACTATCAGTAGTTGTTACAAGGCTTTGTAAGTTCCCAAAAGGAATAGTCGGTTGCAAGTAAGGTAGATTTTTTTTCTTCCAGTAAGTGTACTTCCATTTGTAATAGACGATGGCGGTGCTTGTCAAAAGTAAAGAAAATCCAGTTAAAATTTCTAAAAGTGGGTGCAGCCGATACATTTAGCTAAAATTTGATGAAAATGGATTAGGCCACGGTTTATTTCAAGCACAAATAAATATTTTACCGTTACAATAGTGTTCACAGTGTATAGGTATGTGGTATTCAAATTATTTAAAACACGATTAATATTATGAACAATTTAAAGTATTAACATTTTCTAGTGTTGAATTATATAACACGTAAATATGTCTTGTGGCGTTTTGAGAGGTTTAACGACCGAGTTCTAGGTTATTCGATTTCACTGGCGTAGATAAGACAGTCATCATTTTACTAGATGTCCTATATTATATTTATATTTGGGCAATTCCACCGTTACTTAGGCTAAAATCGTACGAAACTCTGCAAAGTTTTTTATTTTAAACTGTCGTCATAAGTGCTTTTACACTTTCATTTTTTAACATAATCGTTGTAATTTGATTTCTCTTTTTTCTTAATAATTTGATATTACTAAAGTCATATTTAATTTAGTCAAAATTTAATTAAAAGTTTGCGTTACTTACGCGAAATCTTTGAACCTGCCTTCTCTGGAATTGATACATTTTCTCCATTTTCTGTGGAATTGTGGATTATCATACAAAAACAGTTGTATAGATAAAAAATTTAATTTTCGTGTTTTCAAAAACCGAGAAGTAGTTTAATTTTGATTATGTCTGAATAGAGAAAAAATTGCGTTACTTACACGATGTCATCTTTACTTATACGATTTGATCGTTTCTTACGCGAACTTGTGAATATTAGCTGCCACGGAAGTAAGAAAAATTGCAAATTCGTGTTTTAAACAAAAGGAAAAGTTGGTCGAAGGTTGTTTAGAACTTGCCTCGCCCATGAAGTGCATACAATAAAACATTTCCAGCATTTTCGAAAATTATAAAATTTGATTTTGCAAATTTTATTTTTTATGAGAACCTCTATAAATTGAAATAAACAAATGTATGTAATGTCAAAGTAAAAGGATTAAATGCTAAAAGAGAAAATATTCAAACTTTCCGAATTTACAATTTATTTACTTGATGACATTACCATCATTTGAAATTTCGATTTGTTTGTTTTTATTTTGGCTTTTCTCGCTTTTCTCCTTGTTATTTTCATGGTATCTTAACTTTTTTATAGCGCAATGTCTTTTTTCTTTGTGCAGCTTATGTTTGCCCTATATTCCTGCTGATATTTTCGGTTGGTTGATTTTAGGTATTCTGAGTCTCTTTACTTTTTGTCGGTGTTCTCTTTCTCTTTCAGTGGATGTTAAAGACATTTTGATTACACAGTAAAATCAAATTATTGGTAGACTGACGACTGTCAAGACTAATTATTATTTAATTTCAAAGCTAAGCCACCGAATGAAAATTATCCCGTTTCGCGTAAGTAACGGTGCGATTTTTAATAATAATCACAAGGCAATTTCAGACATTTAATCAACAGTACTTACGCTTGTATTTTGAAATAAATAACCAATAAAAAGTATACTCAACAAAACGCCGGTTTAACAACTGTTCGTCTTTACACGTCACTTCACCACAGATAAAAAGTGAAAACGGAATGAATTTTTGGACGTAAGCAATAAAATGTTTGCTCTTGTGTTGTAATAACTGTAAAAAGCAAAAAAACGAAACAACCCATAATTCAGTACCGGTTAAAAAGGATAGATTTATGATGTTTCCAGGCGAATCTGGGCCGAACAGAGGGTTTCAAAACCAGATGGTCTAAGTTTGTCACATTTCTGTGTTTGTGTGGCCATAAAACTGAAAGTGTAGGGTATGTACCTACTCTTACAAATGTGCTGAAGTTTAATTTTGACAAATAAAAAGGAAATTGACGCAGAATCTCAGGGGGGGGCATCGCCCCCCCTGCCCCCCCCCTATGGGCGCCCATGATAGGTGCACTCTTTACGACCGTGCTTGATATTGTATGTAAATCAAGATATTTACTTTGTTTCTAGCGATGTTAAAGAAGATATAATATCTATCATTTCTTTGAACAATTTTATTATTCCTCAATAACAAGAATTTTTTACTGCGGGTGTTATGGTACTGCAAAAGCAAATATATGCCAGTAAAATTTAAAGTTTTTAGAAGTACTAATTGTAAGATTTAGATTAATTGAACAATTTTCAAAAAAATGTGCTGAGGTTGACATTTTCGTGGAATTGCACATTTATATCAGTTTAAAAATGGTTTGTATAATCTAAATATATGTTACTTATTACTTACTTAATAAACGAAACAAAAATCATTATTAAGAAATTTAAGCGTAACGGATATTTGTGCTGTCAATTAAAAGGCCATACCTACATCATTGGACGGTAAAATTAGTCTAGAATTTAATTAAATTGGTTTTATAAAAATGGAAAATAATGTTAAAATTAGAAGTCATTCAATTATTATTACAGAGGGATACATAATTATTTGCAGTATTGTTACGTTGATCGGTGAATAAAATCGGCGTGGTTAAAACTCAACAATTTATTTCTTACTAACTCGAATTTACGCGACTAATTACAGAGCGATTATGTACTCGTTCCTGACGGTAGCCTGTATTTGAAGCCTATTCCTCTAGACGAATCGCGAATGCCACTTCAAGATTTTCGTAGACGCCTATAGACTTGTCTTATTTCGAACGCCGCTGGGTCGTCGTCACCGATGATGACTCACCCATCATCTCCGCACATTGTAGGGAACTCATAGGTGTCGTACTAGTATAGGTTTATTTCGTAACAGTATTTACGAAATTATGATATATCATAGTAAGTATTTATTTGAAAAACAGCTAAAACTAAAGTTCATTAGCACGTTATAAATCTTCGAAAATAAAAACGTTGGTTCGTTTTATTTTGTTATGTCATAAGTTGTAATATATATAGGGTGAGTCCCTAATTCACTTCGATATATTATTAATTATCAGAAATAGAACAAAAAATTATTTTTAATTATAGAGAGTGTTCTGTTTTTAAGGCGTAGCACACTCCTTAGTTTTTTTTTTTAATGAAATACTATATATTTTTACATATTCTCATTACTACAGTTTTTTTTTTAGTTCTAATGCGACATTACGTTATTTCAATTTTCTTTTCGCCAATCACAGGGTTCATAAAAAATTCGCAAAATAGTTTTTTAATGATTGTCATACAATATTTTTTGGAAGGATAAATTAAGATACGCGCTTTCTTGCGGTACCAATTAAATCAGTTTTTAGTACATTCAGTGTTTATAAAAAATTCAAAAATTGTGCAATTTTCAAATATCTATAGTTCAATTTTTGAAACAGAACACCTTGCATTTTATTACTGTATAAGAAAGGCGGTAGTGTGGAAACATTGGAGTTTTCGTAATGATAACACACTGCTAAATTCCTTACAGCTGTCTGGCGAAATAAGTCAACTGCTGCACTGATTAAAGTTTAGATATTGGAAATGTTCAACGTTCAACCTCATTAAGTTAGTGTATTTACCGGATTAATAAGAGTCGGTTAACAGAAGGTCAATGAAATATTTATGTTATCATTATCAAGGATTTTTTATTTTGTAATACTAATAATAGATCATAAAAGTTAGCATAGGGTAAAATGGGTTAGCCAAGTAGGTTAGGTTACTATTATTACCAAAATATATTTTTTTGTCGGGAGTGGTGTAAGGAATGCAGTGGTGTGGAAATTTCACACTACCGTATATACTACTACAATGCACAGGGTAACCTTAATAAGGAACTCAGCACAAAAGGTTTATCACCATATATGTGTCTTTGATAAAATGTTGATGACGACATCATAAAATTTTGTTTTGGAAAAACTCACTTGAAATATACGTATAGCACGCTCTTTTACTTTTATTTTAACAGTTTTTACATAATCTTTATTGTAACTTACACGAGCTACAAACACACAATATTTAAAAATTATCCGGAAATCTCTGTCATAATTATCAAAACTAATTTTTTATCTCGTTCCACTTGTATAAAATGTATCAAAACTTATATCCACTTTCATCTAAAGATACGTTATTGCTGATGAAGTGCTGATAAAAGCGTTTACACCGTGGCCATGGAAACCGTCCGTCTAGTCCCGGTATTGCGCTGGAATCAGGTCCTGTTCCGACAGTGCCCACCAGTAGTAACTCAATTGGGGGTTTTAATTTTGAATCTGCGCGAATGAAATTGTTTGATTTTAAATAAACAGTGTCACAACGATAGAATGTTAGTGAAAAATTTTAGGGAGGGCCACGACCGATTAAGCGCCCTGGATTAATACTGGCGTGAATCATCTATGACACGAAGGTATGTGGACAAATACTTTTTTACTTTTATTGAATGTATTTTTGTTTTTATTTCCATCACACAATTTCGTGTATTATTTGATAATAACAGCCTGTTTTATATCTTTATATTTAACTCATCTATTAAATTGTGTCCCCCCCATTTCAAAAGGTCACGAGCCGCCACTAATTTGTACATTCGAATACATCAGGAACGAGGGAGGTTCTGTCTCAATAACGTTAGACTAATTTTTATTTATTTGTAGTCGTTGGAAATTGCTACTGTTATTGTTAAACAAGTAGTAGTATTTTTATTTATTTGTCTTATAGTTTTATATGTGTTTCCAAACATTTTACAATTATACGGTGTAATTTCCAGATTGCATGTACAAGGACGTGTTGGAACAGCCGATTTGTTGATGCAATAAACTGTTTTACTGCCAATAAAGGTGTAGTGAGAAATAAATAAGTCAAGTCTTGTCAAACCTGATCTTGATCTGGAACCAGCGTTCCGCTGTGACAGGATTTTCAAGTTTATCGCACTTTTTATAAATAAAAATCTCGAAATAAAATGCAAAATACAATAAACAGAAAAAAACAAACAAAAACAATTGGAAATCAATTAGTTACTAAGGTCAACATGTTTTGAAAACACTTAAATTGATTATATTGCAGAATCAACATTCAGTTGTTTTTGTAATTAAAGTGCTAAAATTGATATAACACCTGAACAAAATGGTCCCTGCATGGATTTTTTTAGCCGCGTCACTCTTGCTTATGAAATATCTCTGGTCCAGACGATGGGTTTATTACTATACTTGGAAAATTGCAGGCCCTGTTTCGTTCCCCATTATAGGAAGCACTCACCTGTTATTGCGGGAAGGATATGATGGTTTGATATGCAAATACTTTTTAAGTATAGTTATTCTCCAGTTATTTTCCAGGTTTTCTCAAAACATTTACCAGCGTTTGCAAAACGCAGCCGGCGGTGTTTAAACTGTGGTTGGGCGGACACTTGCTTATCGTGACTTCCCAGCCCGAAGATATCGAAATTTTTTTAACTAAGTATCTAAAGAAGGGTACATTCTATGAGTTTGGGAAAGAGCTTATGGGTGACAGCCTCATAAATTTACCAGGTAAGGCTAACCTTTAGCAAAATGAGCATTCGAAAAAAAAATTGTAGTCGAACAATGGAAAGTAAATCGGAAAATTATAAATCAATCTTTCAATTCAAAAATTTTGAATTCGTTTGTTCCTTCGTTCGTGAAATATGCCAACCGACTTGTAGAGGACCTCAGTAAACTTTGTGATGGAAAATCAACTGATATTTTGCCAGAAGTGTTTAAATGCACTTTAGATGCAGCTATTGGTGTGTATTTTGACGTTTACTTGTTTTTTTTATGAAATAGTTTTTCAGAAAATCTAACCGATGTTGACGCAAGTTTAATAAAAGGACAGGAAAAATTTATTGCAAATATAATCAGGTTAGCCACAAACATAAATATATATCAAATAAAAGGTTTTCTTTAAGTTTGCCGCTTTATTTTTACTTAAATCAAATCTGAATGATTCCAACTAAAAATTGATTTCATAATTGTGCTGTTTACCCTTTATTTAACAAAATCGATTAAAAATTACTTAAAAATAATGAATTGAATTTTGCAGAATGGAGGATTTATTGATGTTTAGAATGTACAGGTTTTGGCTTCATATGAATTGGGTCTGGAAGCGTACTGCTGAAGGAAAAGAAAACAGTAAGCTTTCCAAGGAAACAACGGAATTTATCAAACAGGTATTTACAGTTGCCCAAAAATTTGAAATATACATAATGGTTGCGATTTTGTAATTGAAGATAATCAATAGGAAAAAAATGGAACTCCAAAAGAATACCTACAGTAATGCGTTTTATTCTTCTTGCTCTATAATTAGTTTAATAATATTATTATTGCAGACGACGATATCAAAAGGAAACAATTTCTAAATCATTTATTTAATATAAGCGACGAAACAAGTCTCTCAGAACATGCTATAACAGACGAAACTAAAACTATGCTCATTGCTTCGAGTGAAACAACAGCAATTACCATTAGTATGGTTCTTTTGGTTTTGGCTATCCGATCTGATGTGCAGGTCAGAATAACCAATGTTTTCTAATAAAAATAAAGACAATTAAAATTACAGAACAAAATTTACAAAGAACTCACGACGTTGCTTAATGGTAAAGACAGAGATGTTACACTAGAAGACCTTAATAAAATGCTCTACTTAGAATGTACCATAAAAGAAACCATGAGATTCTTTCCTACGGTGCCAGCGTATGTACGAACAGTTGATGAAAATGTTAAATTAGGTAAAACATGTATTGAACACAGGTTTTAGTGTTGCTTTAGATTCATACACAGTTCCAGCCGGTAGTACCTTTTTGATTGCTGCAGTGCATATGAATAAACGGGAAGATATTTGGAGCGATCCTTTGACATTTAATCCAGACAGATTTCTGTCTCAAAATGACACCCTAAGACATAAATGCGCATATGTACCTTTTAGTTATGGACCAAGAAATTGCATAGGTACGTATGATAGAGAGGGGGAAGCAAAATTAATCAGTACTATTTTAAACGAGAAGTCAAGGTGCCAAATTTTTGAGCAGAAAAGTGAGCTTACGTACGCTTTTTTGTTGTTTTGAAGTCATAGATCAGAGAGAAAATCTGAGTTTGTGTGTTACCTACTTCATATATTTTAGCCAGACTCTACTTTTAAAGATCGTTAAAAATACACGCATACTCCGTTGTATTTATTCAAAAAACAACTGACATTATACAATATAAGGCCGTGTGTCCTGGTCCATTGCAAACATTTTGTACATTATCATGATCAAAATCTAAAAAGAAAAAATATAATGCAATTTTACTTTCATACGTTTGCTTTTCAATTAAGCATTTGGCTGGTAATTAAGATAAAAATGTTTTTATTAGCTTTCACCAATTTTTAGTTTTTAGTTTGTTAAAACTTCGTCATAAATCTGGTTTTCTCTTCTCTCATCTATGGCATTTTTTCTTTTGTCTTTTGCTTTCTAGTATGATTTAATATGAAGTCGTCACCGTTGAGTTTGCATGAGATTAATGTTTGCCACACTTTATCAACGATTCAAACACAGAATTTACTTGATGTTAAATTATGCCTTGATCTAAGTGACTGGTTTCTTAAAACAATTAGCTTTGAGAGTTTATATCGTGGACTGTTCCCAGCTTTTCCCAAACAAACACATGGTAAATAACCACAAAATCCATCCCTCGTCGCGAGAAATACGTCTCGATTATGTGATGATGATGATTGCCTAAGAGGAAAAATTTCATCCCCCCGCCCCTCAGTCCACGATATTATGAATTCTACTGTACTTTCAACGGTCCTTTTTCTCAGAGTAGGACAATGTTAGGTTGATTTAACTGCTGTAAATGAACTATTAGCAATCTAGAAGTGTCATAAGGTAACACTTAAGTTTAGGCATCCAGAAACCTTATTTATAACTTGATAAACAAAGGATGAGTCCTGACTAAGTGAATCTATGAAGTCTCCCAGCAAGTTCTTTTCTGAAGAATCTCATGACTGTTAGATTGTGTTAGAATCAGTAACGATTCAAATCCTAACATGAACTGTGAATTTACTAACAGTAAATCAAATTTACACCACGTGGTAGCGTTTCCCTCAAATGTTCAAATATTTTGTAACTATAAACCTCTACCATTAGAATAACGTCAGGCCACAGGGGTTTAAAAAACTAATCTAAGTCTTTATCCATCACAGCAAACGCAAACGACTACATACTAAAGCGTCAAACCCCTTTTCGAACTTGAATATCAGAAAATTTTAAGAATCAGTAAGGGCATCACCAGTAAATACATAACTTCACAAATCGTTAACTTTTTCCTAAAACTACTATTTTATTTAGGCAAATTGTAATTTACATGTTCAAATAAATAAGAAAAAAATGTTTTTACTTTTACAGGACTCAATTATGCAATGCTATCAATGAAAGCAATCCTAGCAACACTTTTAAAAAACTATATGTTTTATCCTGTAGGATATAAATCGTTCGAAGACATTGAATTTTCCTACAGTGTAGTTGCAAAAGTCAGGAACGGTTATAATATTAGGTTAACACATGTAGACAAACAATAAAAAACAACGTAAAATAAAGGTGTAAAATATTTGGTCGTTTTCATTTTCCTTTTAAAGCTCATTCGTCTAAAATGAGCGGATTTCATGTACCAATGAAGAACGAAGATTCTTGGACGATGACATGATAGCAAACACTTTCAGTATATAGGTACACAAGTAATAAAAAAATTGTTCGGATGTAATACAATAATCTAATATTCACTGCAGGATAAACAAAAAAAAGTGAAATATAAAGACAGTACTTATAGAAACAAAGCGTAGTAATATACTTATAATACTGGAGGTACGTCCAAATAAATTGGGTTTCCCTTTACATTAACCACATACGATAAATTCTCCACCTGGTTCTCGCCATCATCATCGCTAGGACTGTTGTGAATCAAGTCTACCTTTTCTTTACTCAGAACAAGAGGATCATCCACAATTACATCATGATCCATAGACATGTCCACATATTTGAAAGAATATTTTTCCAACAGCATATTTAACAGCACGTCTGGAGAAATTTTTTCCAGAAAGGTTGGATTATAGTCGATTATTTCCTTTAAAAGAACTGATGTATCGCAAACTTTAATTTTAATTCTGTTTTGTATACTATCGAAAATGGTTTTGGTTTCTTTACCTTGCAGGTCTTTTAAGTTCAGAAAGATTTTTAAATTTTCATAAAATGTAGTAGCACCAATTTTCAAATCCGTAATAATAATGAATTTTAAAGTGATATGTTCTTCGTGAAGGAAGGTGATTATATTGCTGATAGTTTTTAATTCGTTTTCATCGTTTACGAACAGTACCAAGGGTATAAATTTTGCTTTCCACATTGCTAAGTACGCTTGCGCTAACGTTAATTCTATAGTTTCTTCGTACTTTTCAAATATTACCTCAGACAATCCCAGTTCAGAAATGTTAGCTTTTTCGATTTTCAGTTTACCGTTGTTTTCAACGAAATTCGTTTCTCTGCGCAGAATGTAGTTGAAGCATTTATAAATATTTTCAGCTACGCCGCGCTGGTCTCTAATAATAATCAAATCAAATATCATTAGTATTTCATTCCATGCTGTCAGCCTTGTCTCGGCGATATTTTCTGAAGACACGAGAAAGGGTTTCAGAAGCAATTCAGCAATTTTTAGAAGAAAACTGTTCCTCGATAATTTCTTGCAAGTTTGTTTCTGTTTAAAATGGGTACATACATAATTGATAAGTTCTTGTGAAACATCGCCGCAGTTATCGAACTTATTTTGTAGCATTAATTTTATAGACCTTTTTAGACCTTCCAACTTTCGTTGATTTGTAAACATACTAAACTTGTTCAAATCATCAAACACTTGCTTATTGTCTTTGTCTACGACTTTGAATATACAGATATCGTCAGAATCGTCGGTTGTGTTCAACAAATGCATCCTTTTGTATTCGGGAATCTTCAGCTCGTTGTCTTTCCATTTTTCTTTGTCTTCGGCGTTCTTCCAATCTCTAAGTGCATCATCATTATACACAAATTTAGAAACGTCGTCTTTGTTAACTTGCAAGCTAGAAACTGTGAATAATTTGAAGTAAGCTTTATCGTAAGATTTTTTTTTCTTGTTTTTCAGTTGCATCAAAATATCGCATCGACTTTTTATACTAAACTTTCCCATTTCAGCAGCCAGTGTTGGGACTAAAATGTTACTTCTGGTCTGAACTTGCTTACACTGTATAGCTTGAATTTCATCTACTGAATTGTAGGTATAAAATTCGATAACAACGTCTCCAAATTCATTCCAGTCTGAGTTTATTACCGATATTCTAAAATCTCTATTGTCTTTACTTAAACAATATTTTAAAGCGAAGTATGTTGACAATGTAACTATGTAGAGGTGGTGTTGTTCTGGAAGAGGATTTCCGCCACGTACGTGATAAGTCTGTAGAATGTGACAGATGTATTAATATTTATAGGAAAATAGGTACATTTTCTACCTCTTTCACTTTTCTTTTGTCGTGTAAACTTTGGGTTTGTGGTTCCATTTGGAAAGATAAACTTTTAGCAACGGTTGTTGAAGGTCCAGTTTCTTTCTCTTCTGTTGGTGTTATTTTTCGTTTTTTGCGGAACGTTGCGTACTTCGACCGATGAATTTTGGTATTCTTATGTTTGTCAAATTCTTTATATGTAGTCTTTTCGCCGCAGACAGCACAAGTGATTTCAGCATTGCCACTGTTTGTATCGATCTACACAGAAGAATTTAAAAATGGAATTGTATTACATTATTTTTTGATTACCTGACCCACTGAAACCTTTGATTTTGATGGAAGAGCTTCTGAAAGTTGTTTTTGATGGTTATTCAGAGTATGCTTAGCTGAGTGTGTCTCAAAGAGACCCGTTAAATCAAAGATTTCATTATCTTCAATTGTCTATTAGAGAAAAGTATTATTTATAAGTAAATATTTAATAATGTTAGGTAACTTACGCTTTCCTGTCCTCTTTCTGTTGCTTCCATTTTGAGAATCCCGAACTATATTAAGCTAATACAATCCCCTATCTTACCTTTTACGTGGATTGTACTCGTAAATAGTTACAAAAGTAAAAAATATGAATAAAAGTTTGATTCAGACTTCTGAGCTAATAAAACGTTAACATTCCGCTGTTATCACTTAAACGTTGTTCAGCATACGAATGTCTAATCTAATCGAACTTTAAATAAAAATGATTAATCTCTTGTTAAAATAAACTAAAAAATAAATAAATACGTAACTTTTGAAACGTCGACACAGAATTCCGAAAAATCTTCTACTTGTTGCAACTGGTTCATGTTTACATTTAATTTACTAAAGACTTTCACGGCCGCTACTACTAGAAATTAATTAAGTAATAGACGCGCATCAGCTGTACAGCTGTAAGCAATGCGTTTCGTTGAGGCGAACTTTGTCGAATGCAAATACGAAGTAAATAACCTTATCTAGCCATTTGTATATCGTGTTGCCTACCCATCATTGAAAACCGTGAACGAAAAATTCCACTAAAATAAAATTGGTAAGAAAATTTTGTTTGTTTCGCTAGCCAGGAAAATGAATGAACTTCCAAGGAAACGTTTTAAATAAACTTTACGCTATGAATGTCAATCAAGCATATTAAAACTAAAGAAATAATAGTCTCTGCGTTCCTCCTAATACGTTTTGGTTTTAATGATGTATTTATTTAGCGTAGAAGATATACTGTGGTAGAAGTATGCAAACACAACGAATATTATGCGTGTTTATGACAAAATAAAGTCGCGGTGAGTACGGGTATTGCGAAAGTACGAGCATCGAGTAGGTAGGAAATAACGGAAATATTCAAACAAGAAACTTTAATTCTTCTCCCTGAAAAATCTGGAGAAAAATATAATATTCAGTACAACTCATTTACGGAATGGTGTGCAAGTAAATGTTAAAAATATTGTGAAAGTGCAAGTTTTGGCATATCTATAAGAGCTATCAAAAAAGTATAAATCGTCTACACTGTGGTCAGTTCATTCTATGCTGAAGACAACACTGTTGGCCAAAAATTATGTTGATATTGGAAAATATACCTGAGTAACTTCACCAAAAATAATTTCGGGGCAACTTGTATGGACTCTGTCATTGCTCAACTCGATTCGTTCACTAAATAATAATAATCGTCCCCGAGGGTGGCCTCTATTTAAGCCTATACGTTCCTCTCGGCGGATCGAGAACGCGGCTTCGAGGGTTTTCTGGACCCACAATCAAAACATCCGGTAACCCGCTACAGACCTGTCTTTGTGGAAATGCCGCCCGGCCATTCTGACCGATGATAACTCACCCACTAACGCCGTGCGTATAGAAAGTTCGGGAACCCATAAGCGTCGTACCGGGGAGGCATATGGGTTTATTTCGTAACAATATTATGGGTTGTTAGGTTTTAGGGAATAATCCTTGAGTATAAAACAAAACGTCAGTTGGAAACAAAGTAGAAAAGACTAGAAAGAAGACAATTTGGAATACGCTGGCAAATATTTTACAAGAAAAGTACAAGAAAGTGCACAACATTCAGTTTCATCCATTTCGAGTATCATTTTCTTAAGTGTTATAAGATCCCGATTGACGATAAACCTACCACTGTTAACTCGTTTAAAATTTGATTAAAAAATACCCGTACGAAAAAAACCTCAAAACTTTTAGTGTTCTAATTGGCTAAAATGTTCTGAGGGAAATAATAAGTATCATTTTCATCATGGGATATTTTCACCGACTTCAAAAGTATTTAATTCGACAATTTCGCTTCCTCTAAAACCTAATTCCTAGTTTTGATGCGGTCTTTTACTTGCCAAGTAATTTAATTATTATTTTAAATTAGTTTCTGTCGACATCGTTCTCTAAATTACGTTCGAAGTGAAGTATGGAAACGGTTAAATGAGGCAAAATTAAGTTGGAAATATCATATTTATTGAAAACGTAAAAAATACTTACAAAACTAAAACTTAAAGCAAGGAGTATGAGCTACAGACATTTTCTAAGACGCAAGGACCTCCAAGTACGCTTCTGATATACCCGTCTTTACAAACACATCCTTCAGCACAAACATCCGGGCAGACCCTTGGCTCCTTATTTTGGCAAGTCAGAGGACACACCGTTGCACATTCTGAGTATATTTCGTTTACTCGGACATTTGGGTACTTCTAGAGTTGGCAAAAATTAATGGTCAAAAAATCTAAGACAATGCTTAAAGTACTTACTTTTACAAGACTCCCTGGGTACACAAGAACCGGTCTCTGCTGCCCTCACTAACCTTCTTTGCAGAAACAACATTTGATTCGGTTCAAAGATTTACAGATAGATTTGTGGGCACTCAGTGCCGCAGTTTTGGTACTCTTCGTTTTCATCAAATGTTTTTTATTCATTTGATGAAAATTTTGGTTACTTACTGCTAAATGTGACCCCTAGGAGGAAGAAAGTGACGATGATGGTACCAAACATTTTGGTATAAATTCTTGGAGTTGTAGACTTCATAGCAGTTTGTCTTGATTCTGATTTAATGGTTGCAAGGCTGGATTTAAATACCTAATTGATATTGTTGACAAATATTTCTATGGCCACTGTACTCCAAAATATTAAATAACAGACTCAGAATTGGTAAAATTCACCATTGTCAAACACAAGCAAACACACCAAGCGCTAATTCATGACTACCCGTACCGTCTTTTTGCGCCTTCCTTATCAGTGCACTTTTTTGTGGTTCTTAAGCGTAGTCGCTCTATGCCATTCATTGTAGTAATTATGTAGGTCACGAAACAATACGAGCGGCGCGTATAACAATTTATCTTTAATTCCAAATAATTTTTGCCAGACAGTGCTGCCACTTAGGAATGTGAAATTTACAACAGCCGTAATCTTATTGTGAGCTATTCACCATTTTTTTTTGCACATATTTCGAAATCACCCTGTATACAAATGTTTGCTATAGTACTGTATTGTGTATTTTATATTTGCAGACAAACATTGAAAAATGTATTTATCAAATTCAAATATAAATAAAATTGTTGGAAATTTCCATATCCAATCATCTTAAGCAGGTACCTGGGGTTGTGAGAGGTGGGGCTGTGTCCCACCCACCCCATTTAATCGGTACCGGTAAACACAATTTTGTAGTTCTGGAATAAATCCCAAGCAAAACGGTCGCACTGTTATTACTTTGGTCCTTCGAAGCAATTCTAATAATCACAAACAAAAATGTTAAAAAATGCGCACAAAACAAACAACAGTTTTAAGCTTAACAAGTAATGTAACATCCACAACCTAAGATCTACGCGATTGTAATTGGTTAATAGAATCTTTGGTCAAGAGTTTTCAGAATTTTAAAATACAATGATTGTAAATTTTTGTTTTTGATGTTTCCTGTAATTTTTTCTCGTATGTCAGTAACCGTGTTTTGTAAGCAATATGTATATAGATCTGCAATATTTAGTTCTTCAGATACATTTAAAATTGTTGCCAGTTGTTACCATTACAGCCAACCATGAACATTTACCTTGTTGAATATCTGTTCCCTTTTTACCACTTTTCTCTGGGTTACCATAACAGTCCATGAAGTCATCCTAACAATTACAGCTGTCTTTAAAATGATTTAATCTCGCATTGCATTTTACGAAAAATATTTGTTTTCTTTTTTGTAGAGTCACGTTACATACTTTCGTAAATTGTCTATGTAACTTACCTGAACTTGATATAGAAATGAGAAATCTTTGGACAAATCTTCAGACTTCTTGTGGAGTTTCAAGTCATATATGTTTGCCATATACATTCCTAAAGCTATCGGTAAATAGGAAGTGTAAAACCCAGTTTTTTGTTGTTACCTCTCCATTGTAAAAACTTGCAGTTGAGGTTTCCATCCTTGACAGACATAAAGTTCGCAGCTTCTCCCAAACCGGTTCTCAGAGTGATGTCATGAAATAACAGCATCGAGGGTCGATAATAGTGATGCTTTCTAAAATATTTTAAGTTCTAACGCCCAAGCCATAATCATTGCTAATCTGAGATTTGTGTTTCGTAAGTTGTGAACGTAATTAAAGCTCTCAGTTTTTTTACCAAGAGGTTAAGATAACGAAGGTCCTCATCGTAGCGTACATTTGGTTCAACAAGATTTGAGTCTGTAATCTTATTCGTTAAGTCATTCACTACCACAGGAAACAATTCCAAAAATTCTTTATATTTCTCCGTACTAACTAAAAAATTACTGCTCGATGTAGTTCCTGGTGCAGATGGAATTCTAAAAATACATGCATTAGCAAAGTATCTTAACAATATCCCCACCAGTTTAACCATTACGTCGTACACTGAGGAGCTCGGAAATGTAGTTTAGGAAATTGTTTGTGAATTTGTAATGCTTAAACTGAGTTTATAATTTTTGAGAATTTGAGAGTTGTAACGTAGAGGAAACATTTAAATGTTAAATTTAATTTAAAATTGTTAAGAAATCAAAATTATTTTAGTTTACACTGAAATTTAAAAACATAATTAAAATGTTCTAAGCGATCATATATTACATTTCGAATAATTTCAAAATATTTCATTATTACTTAGCGTGGCTGGTTAAAAACAACATTTTCTGTAGTTTAAATTCATTATACCGGGTGTCTGGAAAATGGCGGATTAACTCTCCGCTACGCTCTTAACAATCAACTGGTGAGTCTGAGAAAAATAGTAAAAAAATCTTTTTTACATTATGGAGTAGTTATAATGATTTTAAAATTAGTTCTTTTGCTACGTTTAACAACTAAACAACTCATTCATTATCACAATAACTAGTAATAAAACTGTGACGGGCTTGGGAGATTTTCAAAATTAACTTTTGTTAATTTAGTATATATTCTTGTCGTGGACCTTGTGCCCGACATATAGTGAAAATATTATTTATTTGTTCGTAGGCTGGTTCGTGATGATGGTAACACATTCTAGTGACTGGACAAAGGGACTACTTCAAGTATATGCATTTTGCTTAAATGAATAATTATATTTAATTTAGAAATGAGTATGTACAAAAGAGATTTAGTCATATGAGAATAATTTGGTATAACAATAAATTGTAGTGTAGTTTAATATGCAAATACAATTATCAGAAAATGAACTTCAGTATTGAAACATTTTTAAATAAATTCAAGAAAACCTTATAAGTTTGAAACTAAATCTTTGAAAGCATAATAAAACAAACATTTAAAAGAATCTAAAACAAAAATATAACAAAACTCAAAATTGGTACCATAACTCAAAATTTGGTAACATAACTCAAAATTTGGTAACATAACTCAAAATTTGGTAACAACTCAAAAACTTGGTAAGGAACATTATAGTAGTTGCGTGGTCAGCGTTCATCAAACAATATAACTGTTTAACTAATAATTTCAATGCAAATTAATCT